CTACACCCAGTGGGCTTTCCACATCTGGGTGTGGCCTCTGTCTTGTCCCTCCAAGGCCTGCACCACTGTTGTGAAGCTGAGTAAGTGCATTGGAAAAGCGTTTCTGCCTTTGATGTTTGGATAATGAAATAAATGACAACGTATGTTGGTGGTACAGATTCTGGGACGGAAGCTTGAGCAAGTGGCTTGGCTGACGGAAGAGGGACGCACTGACCCATGTCAGGAGGAGAGGGAGCAGTCCCTGGGGTGGCCAGCATGGTGGGGATCTGCATGACTTTCACGATTACCAAAGGGGGACACAGGTTATGAAAGGCTAGAGACGTCCCTCAATCCTCTCTCCCTGTCTGAGGTCATTTGTTCCTTGATCTATTCATTGTTTCAGCGCATATGGGTGGAGAGCCACTGTCCTGGGGTGGAAACAGAGATCAGAGCCCAGCCCTGCCCTCGGAAAGCCCTGTCTCTGGGGGAAGATGCAATCAGCTGCAGGCACATGTGTGCTCTATAGAGGGTGAGTCTGGAGGCCCTGACCCCGGCAGGCAGGTCCAGACCTTCTGCCCTGGGCTGCCCAGGGTTGCCTGGAAGAGTGGGGTGATGCAAGGAGAAGAGGGAGGAGTAGACTTTTTCCAAGTGCTCGGAAGTCCTTGGGGCTAGGGAGGCCTGGGACCAGCATATATGCAGGCAGGAGGGGGCCTAGGCCAGCAGCTCTGATGGCCCGGAGCTCTGTGTCATTTTAGGGAGAACCTGCTTCTAGTGGGCAGAAGGCATGTGGAGCTGGAAAAGAAGCATCTGTTGCTCACAGCTGGGGAGGGGCCAGCTACAGCCACAGCCAGTAGCTAACTCCACCAAGAGGCCCTGACCCCTGAAATCTGCAGTTACACCCTAAGCTCTAAAATAGATATAGCAGGAGCCAGGACCTGCTCCTGGGTCTACAGCACCCTCTGGTCTACTGGGACTTAAGAGAGTGCTCCCACATGTCTGTCCCACCTGATATTGGCTCCTCCCCATTGCAGCAGTGTGATTTGGGGCTGCAATCTCCTCATTTGCCAAATGATTATAAAATAACCAGTCTCAGAATCATGGGCCTTGGCATGAAGCAGGCACTGAGTCAGGGAGAGTTGCAATGATGCTCACTGTCTCAGTGGCTGTTATTCAGCCAGTAACTGCAGCTTTGATCGGCGTTGCTTCTCTCCTCCCGGTGTGTCTTTTCTGCTGGTCTCTGGGTTCTCGGGATGAGGTGTGGCTGGCCAGAAGCCTCAGAAACAACTCTCCCACCTTGGGTTGTGGACTAGAATTCCATGGCTCTGGTTTGAGTGCGGTTTTGTGCCCCGAAACGCGTGTTGAAATCAGATTGCATCATGGCACTGTTGGGAGTGGGGATAGGGCAAGGTGCTCCGGTCATGGGGATGGGTCCCTGCCATGTGGATGAGTGCCTCTCGCAGGAATGGGCCTGTCACCATGGACATTTGCCCCTCGTTCTTCACGTTCTGCACACACCTGCTTGCCCTGTGGCTTTCCATCAAGTGGAAGCAGCAGAAGACCTCACTAGGAGACAGCGGATGCCAGTGCCTTTGGCCTTCCAGCCTCCAGAACCGCGAGCCAAAATAAACCTGTGTTTATAAAGTACCCAAGCAGGTGTTGTGTTATAGCAACAGAAAGCAGACAGGGACACTCGGCACTTCTGCCAGGACCATAGGATGAGGTCAGCAGAGTGGGAACTCCAGGAGCCAGACATCATGGCATCCAGATGGCAGCCAAGTGCACCCAGGGGACAGAGGCTATGGAGGGATGTGGCCCAGAGTTTCCCACCCCTCTGTGCATGGGCTATAACTGCCCTTAGACTCACTTGTAATTTTACATCATGAGTGCATTATGCGCTGGTGGCAAGTGGCTCTCAGCTCTGGGCTTCTGTTGCTTTGTCTATAAAATGAAAATTCCGGGCCAGAGGACCTTCATGAGCCTTGCCGACAGCCACTGTTGCCCTAGGTACAGCAGGAATCTGCTGGGAGGGAGTCTAAACCCTCTCTCTCCCTCTGTCGGTCAGCATCGTGGGTCCAGGGCAAAGCCTCCTTTCCCTGGCACTTTATGTGTGTTCTCCCAATGCCAAGTGCTAAACTCAAGGGCTCCAGGCTCCCAGAGCGTGGCCCACTGGCAGTGACCCTGCCAGGACCGACCAATGCAGACATTTCCATACCAAGGTCAAAGTCACAGCCAGGGCCAATCCTGCTGCCTGGTTCTCATCTAAAAGGAATTTGGCCAAGGACAGTTTAGCTGGAGTTAAGCGTCCCTGATTGGTCCAAGGGGTAAAAAGTTCATCATCTCAGCTGCAAGTTACATCCTGTTTGGCACTGTGGGAAATCTCAGGTCGGAGGGAGGAGCACACTCCTCACCCTGAACCTCTTTCAGGGAATTATGTTGCCCTTGCTGGCGGCCTGGCCACGGAATGTTACGGAAATTCCATCATATCGAGACTCCGCTGCCTTCTCAGGTGCACCTGACCGGAAGAGGCATAGTGTATCTTATCCGACTGGGAAAAGAACATGTCAGTCCAGAGAAAAACTCCAGGAACTATTAAGACATTCCAGAACTCAGTGGAGAATTCCAGTTATCAGGAGGCATTTGTACAGGTGGAATACTCCCTACCTGAAATGCTGGGAGTTGAAAGGATTTTGAATGGCAGACTCTTTTTTGGGATTTTGGAATATTTGCATGTATATATCGTGGGGATGGGACCCAAGGCTAACAGAATTCATTTATGTTTTGTGCATGTCTCATGCACGAGAAGAATTTTACACAATACTTTCAGGATACCTCTGTTTTAACTGTGACCTGAAACATGAGGCCAGATGTGGCAGTTTCAAAACTTTCATATTTTGGAACATTTCTGATTTCTTTAGATTTTTGTATTAGGGATGCTCAACCTATCTGTTTCTTTTTGTCAGTTTGTTTGAAGTATTGGGGATCTACATCCTCAGCCCTTTTTACTTTTTAATTCGAGACAGGCTCTTATTGAGATGCCCAGGTGGGACTCCAAATGAGATCCTCCTGCCTCATCTTCCTTTAGTGCTCAACTTGTTTCTGTAGATCATTTTCCTTTGGAGATAAAGAAAGCATGCCCTTCGGCTCTGTAATGATCACTTGGAAAGTTAGGGTGGCCAAATGCCTCTTGCCGATTTCTCTCCTCAGCTATGGATCATTTGGTGATTTAAGCACAGGGAAATCCTTTTCCTTCTTGTTTCCACAAATTGGGATCTCTGACAAGGCATGAAACGTCTGACTTTTGCTGTTGGTATAGGTAGCTGCCCCCTGACAGGGGACAGATTTGACCTCTTAGAAGGAGATTTCTTTTACTAGACATCTGGAGAGTAATTTGGAAATTCCTTCTCTTTGAATCGCAAAAGGTAACCGAGATCCAGTAACCTGGCTGGTGGCAGGGCGGCAGGGCTTTGGTGTCCTGCATTTGTTCACAAGGGTGGCTGTCAGGTCAGAAGTCGATCTTCCCACATTTGTCCCCTCCGCTGCCATCTTGGCTGGAATCTGTCTGCAGCCAGCACCAGGCCACACCCGGGTGCCATGCCCCGCACTGCACACTGTGCCAACACAGTGAGCATGGAGCAGATGACCTATCGGAAGGAATCCGTGTCACATGCCCAGTGTCCTCTGACTCCTGCTGGCCACCCTGGGTCCTCTTGGTGTCTTGGCTCTGGCATGAGACTGCGCTGGTCAGGGCTGCTGCCAGGACCCTCCCGAGTGTGGATTCTGAAGGAGATGCTCTTGCTTTGCGCCTCGGAAGGACAGGCAGGGCACCCCTAGGCTAGTGGCATCCCCATAGCCATCAGCAGACCTGTGTGCATCTTGCACCGCAGCAATCCCAACATGCAATTTGCTCACCTCCTGCTGCTGGGTGGCCCCTGACGGGCACCTGTCCCCAGTCTCCACCAGGTGCCGACTGCTCCCTGTCCTCAGGCTGTGGGCCCAAGGCCTCAGGCTGGAGCTGCAGGCCTGATGTCTCACATTCTGCCTGGGTCTGCACTCAGCCTCACCTTCCCTCTGCTGTGGGCGGGGAGAGGGGATCCAGGGTAGGAGGCTCCAGGTGGGTACTGGATGGGTGATGCTGAGAGTCTGCCACATGGCATGGAAGAAGGGACACAAGCCCAAGGAGGGCCCTGGAACTTGGGGACAGGAAGGGCAGGGCTTTAAGGCTTTCTGTCTGTGATTGTGGGGAGGGTGGATTATCTATTGCTCTGAGACAGCAGAGACAGAAGAGTTCAGGACAGGGACAGATGACAGCAACTCCCGGGTCTTGACTGACTGCAGGTAGTAGTGCTGCCTCTGCTCCTCACCAGCAACCTTGGCAAGGTGATAATGAGCCCATGGCCCAGCTGGAAAGCTGAGCTACAGAAGGGTTGTGTGCTAGTTTAGTTACTAAACATTACCTAACCTTTCAGTCCACCTTTCTAGCAATCTAATGGGCTGGTATCACATTTATCATCATGTTCAGGCTATAAATGGGGACAGTGAGGGTGACATTGTTAAGAAGTTCACAGGAAGATGCAGGACCAATATCTTGGATGGCCACAGATGCAGCATGGTGGCTTTTGATACCAAATGGCGTACGCGCTGACTTGGAGAAGAACGAAAGGTGGAGATGAGCCAGGTGTGGTGGCACATGCCTACAACCCCAGCACTCTGGGAGGCTGAGGTACAAGGATCAAAAGACGAAGTCCACATTCAGCAAACTGGCAAGACCCTGTCTGAGAATGAAAAATAAAAAGGGTTGTAGATGTAGCTCAGTGTGAATGCCCTGGGTTTAATCCCCAGTATCACACACACACACACACACACAAAGTGAGGATAAATGACATATAGGAAAGTAAATAGTGTACTAGTTAAAGTACTAGTTAAGGTAACACTAGCCACTTAACGAGTCTTAGACTTAACCCAATCAACAATCCCTCTGTAAGGAAAATGATGATACTGTGGCCCCTGGGCAGTGGCTGGAGTTTCGCCATTCAGTGACCAGGCTGCCGTTAATAAGCCAAGGACATTGACTAGCTGTGTTCCCAGAAGGAAAGGGAAAGTTGGAGCTTAAATAGAGTCTGCATCACAGGCGTGGACAGAGCTCCCAACCCAGGCTAAAGCCAAAGCATGCCACTGTGTCACAAATGGAAAAATCCTTCAGCCTACTAGCACGGGTCAAGTCCTGGCTGGCCAGGGTCAGTTTTCACGCTAAGCTGGTGGCACTGATCACGTCGGAAGCTGTGTTGAGAGCAGCCCTGGATGTGGCTCCATCTCAACCGTGCCTGACGGGTTCTGGGCCACAAGGAAGGGTCCACCTGCTCTCGGCCTTCGTTTCCTCTGGTGTGAAGATCAGGATTGGGACACAGGGATCACACAGACGCAGGAGAGCAACACATCTCCTAGGAGGCAGAACACACACAGTTGGTTGCTATTGAGTGGGTGGGTGTGGGTGTTCTGGGTTAGCAAGAAATGAATACAGCAATCAGTAAGTCTATTCCTATTGCTTAGAACCCGGGTATTTGGAGTGATAAAGTTTACACCAGTCCCAGACAAATTTCCAGAGTGGAATATTGTACAAGGGACTTGGGAGTTGTCAGAAAAAGGAGTTATATCAATAAAAGAAAAAATTTTTTTCTCTTACTTTAAAGAGAAAAAATTCTAATAGTTTCACCCACTTTCTTTGCTTTATTTCTTCCAAAGCCACGTGAAATTACTGCAGGACTAATATTAGACATCAAAAATCTTCTCTTATATCTCTGGATGCCCAACACAGCAAATTGCTTTCACCTGCCCACATCACCCCCACCCCCAAATGCATGTAAACATACAATCCTGGCAGAATGGAATTCTTTCGATTGACAAATAATGTCAAGCAGTGAGTAGAAGATTATGTGCTATTAAACAAAAACCAGTGACTACGGTGTTCAGATGGCCAGACAGCCCATTGGTGAACTTGCTCTTTAGGACAGGAGTATTCATTTCTTACATGGATGTTTAAGAGGGCAGTGAACACATGCCTGGAGTAGCTTTGATCTTCAGAGTCACTGCCAGAGGGGCATCATTCAGTCAAAAGGAAGGAAATTTTAGGTGGTTCTTGGTCAGTAAAACCATACTGACCTCCAAAAATATCCCTCTAATTTACATAGTCACAGCAGTGCAGGAATACTTTTCTTTCATGACAGCCTGCCTAGCTTCGGATTTGGAGATATTCTATTATTTTATTGGTATAACAATAAGTGCTACCTTTTCATTTATTTTGGAAAAAAATTATTTTAGAAGAATTATAAAGTTTGTCTTAGAAGAATTATACAGTGCAGATGTGCAAAGGGCAAAACAGAAACTTTCTGAAATCCCATCTTCTAGAGATGGTCGGTGACACTGCTCTGCTCTTCCAGAGTTATTCCTGCGCACACACGGCCACATAGAACTTGCTTACTTAAACGACTGTGCGTGGGTTTGAACAACATTCAGACCCTGGCTTCCTCTCCATTCAGTATGTCACAACCATGTTTTGAAACTTCACAAAGTGTACTTCTTTTAATTCCATATTGTGAAACATTCAGCTTAACAGTCTCAAGCCTTATTTCCAAACACTAATTAATTGACCTTGTACCTTAGCCTCTGCCAACATTCCTGATAACCCCCTTAATGTAATTGCTGCCCTGGGATTTCTGGGGGAAAGTGCATCTGACTCGCATTTGACAGGTTTCCCCAGAGAAGCTGCCTGCAATTCCGCATAGCTGTTTTCCCAGATCTCATTAAGGCCAGGCCTGATCTGTCTTTAATCCTTTCCAAACCGAGAGGTAGAAAACACATTTATGTTTAAGTTTGCGTTTCTCTGCATAGGAGTCCTGTGAATTTATTATTTTGCCATTGTTCATGCCATCATTATTTTTCTTATGGAGAAAGTTCCCATTACACTGAGGAGTCAAATCATTTGTCATATATGCTGCAAATATTCCCACTATGTTGTTTACCTTTAACTTTTCATGAGTTATTGTAACATCTAGAAGCTTGTGATTTTTAAGTTTGAAAAACCAGTAAATGTTCTCTATGCATTCTGATTATGATGTTAAAAATGCCACACCCAGTCCTCCCAGATTTGTTTTGCTAACATTTCTTTCTTGCTATTTAGCATTTCTAAAATTACTTTATGATTTTATTTGAAAAGAATCTGTCTAGGTTTAATCCAACTGGAATGTATTTGCTTCATCAACTGAGATAAATATCTAAGCAAAACAGTTAACCAATTATCTCATCACCACATTGAAAAATTCATTCGGGAGTTATCAGAAATACCGTCAAGGTAATAGGAGAAATTAGAATTCCTTTACTCTAAGTGACCTGATAGGTATCTTCAAATATTTTGATACCACTCATGTGGAAAGAGGATTAGTCAGGTCTGCATTCCCAGAAAGCAGAGCTCTGCGTGTGCATAGAAGGAGGCATGGAGAGACAATGAGAGGGTCTCTGGGACTTGAGGGGTCGCCTCCTGCCCAAGAACAGAGCTAAGGGGCCCCTGGTGTGTGAGGAGAACGGCTGTACTGAGTTCACCAGTCCCTTTCCAGCATGAAAATTCCTGAATCCACTAACCTGCAGCAAGCGAGGACTCGGACACTGTTTCCATAACTTGGCATGGCATGCAGAGAACCCCAGGACTGGTGGACGAAGCCTCCTGGGACAAAACAAACAGACCTTTTGGACAGGGCCACACAGAAGCAGCCACTGAATGACGCTGGTGGCCTCAGTGCATCTGGTTCACAGTGGGCACCCTTAGCCAGCTCTGCCCAGTGTGAGAACCGAGCAAGAAGCCCACAGAGGCGCCCAGGCTCTCATGTGAAGGGATAGCGGGATCTGGGAAAGTATTTGCTCTGTTTATTTTGGGCTAGAAAAATTGCATCTTGTTTGTGTGTATCTGTTTAGCAACACAGAAAGATGAGGAAGTCTAAATTTAACAAATGCTAAATATATAATTGTTCCAAGGAAAAGTCGGAGCTATTTTCCCACCTGGTAGAAATGTATGGGAAATAGCACCCCCAGGATCCCAGGGGCAAGAAGGGCACGAGTTTCCACCATAGGAATTCTTCCTGGGACAGAGCCTGGCATTTCCCCACTAACCGAATACGGCGAGTTATTCCATCTATTTAAGGGCAACACTCTGGTCCCTAGAAGTTCAAAAGATGGGCCACCTGCCCTTAGTTGGTGCTCTCAGCAAAGCCCAAGTGAGTCTGGCCGGTGTTACTATGAGAAGGAAGCAGGACTTAGCTGGAAGGATCCCCTTGCCCCTGGGCTGAGGTCTTGGGGATTCTGATGTAGTTCCAGAGCTCATGGAGGCTTTTGCCTACCTCCAGGACAGGAAGTGAGGGAAGGGTGTCTGTAACACAGTGAAGGGCAGAGCAGAGCAGAGCAGAGCAGAGGGCAGCTCCAGTTCACACAGTTTGCCCTAGGGATGAGGCCTCCGTGTGACTGTGGTCGGGCTGGGCTCGGGGTGTGCAGGGACCTGGCCCCGAGCTCCACCCTGAGTGTGGGCGACTGTTCATTCTGACTTACTATTACAAACGTCCTGGGTCCTGGGCAGTGACAATCCCAGAGTGGATGCTACGTCCTAGCCCACCTCCCTGTTCCCTCCTGGGCCAGTGAGTGAACCGCCTGTCCGCCACTTGCCTTCTCCGCATTGTTATAATGACGGGCACCTGTGTGCAGAAGGAGTCACTGAGGAGCAATAGCCATAGTTCTCGTGCACGTGTGTATGTGTGCATGTGTCCGTGTAAGTGTTCCACATTAGCTCGGTTCAGACTATGGGTCAGAGGCTGGCTGGGTGACAAGGACAGCGACTCTGGTCTTGAGACTCTGGTCTTGAGAACTTCCCATGGTCACTAAGAGTCACCCTCACCGGGTGATCAGTTTCCTCTGTGTTATTCAGCTTGCACCAGTGGGACAGAATCTCTGAGATAATCAGCTTAAAGGAGGAAAGATTTATCTTGGCTCATGGTTTCAGGGGCTCACGCCATGGTCACTTGGCCTGGTGCTTTGGTCACCTGGCCTCTGCGGTGAGCCTGCCCATGAGGTGGGAGTGCATGGGCGAGGAAGTGGCAGCTGGGAAGGAGGGAGAAAGGAAGGGGGCCCCAGAGGCCCTCTAAGCCACACCCCCAATGACCTCACTTCCTCCCATCAGGCTCCTCTTCCCAACAGTGCCACAAAGGAGACCAAGCCTTCAACACACAGCCTTTGGGGACACTTCCAGCCCCTGCTGTGCATGATCAGTGATGAATGACAGCAGAGCCAGCTAGTCTGTACTCTATGACGTAAGTGATCCAGAAAACAGAAGTAGAAAGCCACAGTTGATACTTTCCTAGATTCTTATCTCAGTGTTTCCCCCTGACTCACATTTTGGAGGAAATAGTTTCTGAGGCCAGCCAGAAATAACGCCAGTGCTGCTGTTTTGCTGCTGCCAGTGGCATTCATCCGCCACGGAGAGGGAGAAGGGCCGTGCAAGTCCCGCCCTAGGAGGGGCGCTGTGGAGGAGAGGAGCCTTACTCATCTCCCCACACTGCACCATGTGAGCTCCCAAGGCCCCCAGAAACCGTGTCCCTGTTTGCATTCAGCCGCAGCAAGCCAGGCACCCCACGAACGCCTGCCGCGGGGGCCCCTGCCAGCCGTCTGACTCAGCCTGCTGTTCCAGACAGTTTGTCCTGGTCCTGTCTCTCCCCTGCCAGGCCCACTCCCACTTGGATCCAGTTCCCAGTCTGTCTCTGACATCTTCTTCTGCCTCTGCTCCCTGGACCTGGGCATTTCCTCTGGGGCTCCCCCATCCCGTGGCCTGGGCTCCCTGCAAGGGTCCCAGCCGAGACCTGCACACACCCTCTTCTAGGGTTGCCAGACGACGTACAGGATGCCCAGTGATATTTGCATGTCACATACTTGAGACCTGCTTGTTGTAAGACTTATCCACGTTTATCTGGAATCCTCATTTAACTGGGAACACTGGGCTTTTGTCTGATAAACCTGCAGCCTCGCTATACCAGCTCTGGCCAACTCTCAGCACAGAGCTCCCCAGCCTGCAGCCACCCAACTGTCAAGAGCCCCACTCCCCCTTGTCCCCTTTCCCCTGTCGAGGAGAACGATTGGCGCTACATTTATCGAATTCCCCTGTGCCAAAGGGGAAGAGAAGCTTTGTTCAGCCCGTGTGTGTGCTGTCACCCGGGGCAGTCACCCTGCAGTCAGCCTGCACTCAGCCGTGGCTCTGGCCCAGGTAACTGACATCTTTTCTTTACAAACGTGCAGGGCTCTGCATGAACACAGGAGTCTGAGAAGTCTGAGAGCGGCTTGCAATTCCCAGTATCCTTTTAAAAGCCGAGCCTCTCTCAAACTGTTGCTTTACAGTTACTAGGACAGGTTTTCATCTCACAGACAGAGATTCTTCCCAAGACTTAGGATGCTCCCTCAGAAGTGGGAAATGGGAATCCAGCCCACAGAAAAAACCCACCCATGCAGCCTCCTGACCTTCAAAGGCTGCAAAGTTCAGCAGAGGCGACAGCATGGGCGTCAAAGGCAGCATTTGCTCACAGACACCCACTGGGACCACAGATTACTTGCAGGGCAGTCAGGGAATTGGGGGTTCAAGGAGGATGCAACTGAACATCCATCTCCAGTTGCAGTGCACGTTCACAGGAGGCTGCACAGATGACAGAGGATGAAGTGCAAGTGGAAGGCATGGCACTGGGTGATCAGGAGGCTGTGGCACTTGCTCGCTATAGCAATGATAATATTCAAGATAAAGGAGCCATTGAGCTTCCTCCTGCCACCCAGTGAGCTTGCAGAGGGAAAAGGAGGAATGAATGCTCTGAATATTCAGTTAAGAGGAGGTGCACAGCTAGCTCTTGAAGGGTCCTTACCTGTGGTCCTGAGTGGACGTGGTAGAGGTGTTGGTTCAGGTGCTGATTCTAGAGCTGCCAAGTGGATGCCAGTTAAAAGCTGAACCCAGACAGGCCTTGCTAAGGCAGGGGGAATGGGAAGGAGGCACTGGGCGTGGGGTGTGGACACTTGAGCAGATCTGGAATGAGCTCCACATTGCCCTGAATCTCCACGGCAGTGTGCACAGTTTCTTCATTAGACAAGAGGATCAGCCTGATGTCCTATTTGGGCTATTTGGGTTGGCTTTCTCTCTCCTGTTTCCCCTTGTACTTCGCCTGCCCCCTTTCTGAGAACACTTTCATCACACCTGGCTGTGGTGACTCCTCCTTCACCAAGTGGCTCTTCGTCATATCACTTGCTCTGTTGTCATCATTGTTTTGTTGGTAGTGGTGGTTTTGCAATGCTGGGGATCAAACCCAAGCCTCACATACCCTAGACCTGGGCTCTACCACTAAGCCGCATCTCCAGCTGCTGTCACCCATCGCAGCCCCTTATTTGTCAGCCTGGGCCTCTCTCCCCACCTAAAGGTGGGTGTCTAAGGGACAGGTCTTTGTGTTGACCACCGTGCTGGTCCCACATTAGCACTGTTCTGGGCAGCCAAGACTTATCAAAGATTTGTCACATGAAAATATGAATGTGAAGTATTGAAGTGAGTAGGAATGGAGAAACCAAGTATCAATTTGAGGGACTGACTAGGTCAGCTGTCATCTTCTAGTGAAGCCTAGACCTGTGTTGATAAGAAAGGAAAGTAGAAATGGCCAATGGAGAAAGAGGGACAGTGGGAAAGAGGAGGCTTGAATTAGTCAAGTTTTTTTTGTCTCAGTGACAAGATAACTGAGAAAAACAATTTAAGGAGGAAAGGTCTGTATTGGCCCATGGTTTTGAGAATTTCAGGGTATGTCTGGCTGGTTCCATTCTTTTTGACCTGTGGTGAGGCAGAAACATCATGGCGGAGGGGCATGGTGGAGCAAAGCTGCTCACCTCATGGCAACCAGGAAGCAGAGAGGGAAGGACCCAGAGAGGAAGTTAGTCTGCTTTCCCATTGCTGGGACATAATTCCCAACAGCTGTAATTTAAAAGAGAGGTTTATTTGGCTCTCGGTCTCAGGGTATTCAGTCCATGGCAGGCTGGCCCCAAGGCAGGAACATCATGGCAGAACAGTGTGGCAGAGCAAAGCTGCTCAGTTCATGGTAGCTGGGAAGCAGAGTGGGGGAGAGGAAGTACCAGAGAGGAAGGGGCCTGGGGCCATACATAGTCCCCAGGGCCACACCTCGATGGCCCACTCAGAAACACCCAGAAGTATGCTTCTCCAGTCTCCTGGGTGGATCCCAAGCCAATCAAGTGGACACAATCCGTTACAGGACATCAGTCATCTGGCCTGATATTCTCAATCCAGCAGGACACCAGCCCAGAGCTAGGAAAAAAACCTGACAGTAATCCTGGAGGTCCTCTTCATCTGGGTATTTCATCCAGCATTTCGAGTGCCACCTGGAAAACCACTGGGAGCAGAAGTTGGTCTTTCTATGGTCGCAGAAACCGATGAACCTGTCTCATTCCAGTGCAAGAACTTCCTTTCAGCTCAGCCTTGCTGATTCATCCCCCTGGAGTTCCCTCCATCCTTCTCTACCAAATGTTTCTTTTGCTCCTGGGGCTGCCTAACTACGTGCTCATCCTGACCATGGCAGTAGCCCTGTGAGGGGATAGGAATTACTCTTACTCCCTGTCCTACCTTAGACAGGATGTGCACAAGGTCATAGTGTTCATGATGTGCCGTTTCCGTGTAATGCAGTATTTCCCTCCACCTGGCTCTGCTGCCTCCAAATCACTGGCAAACAGATCACATCCATTCAGCTGGCTTGATCCAAGGAAAGCAGGAGTGGGGACAGTACTGGCTTCCTTTGAAGAATGTTCAGATCCTTAGACCATCCCTTCACTTCCTGATTCCCCAGGTCCATCATTCTGGCCCCAGTTGTAATCAGTCTAGCCCTGTAATCTATATTGCTGTGGATGCAATCAGCATCTTCTCATTCCAGTGAGATAATACACTCTGGGTGCTGAGGCCCTGCCTACTAATCTAGGGCCATGAAATCTGTGAATCTAAATAAATAACCCATGGTGATTATTTTGCAGACAGGCTAAAAAACAAACAAATAAGCAAACAAAACTCAGTGATACCCTTTTATGGAATTGCTGACAGGCAGCTGCAAAAGTAACAGGCTTGCTGTTTCTTTGCTTTCAGTAATCTGGAACTGGTTTTAATTACACTGAATAAAACTAGAAGTCAGTTGTAGCTGACAATAGACAACCAGACTGGAGGATATTTTTACCTTTTTAGCATTTTGTGGATAGCTTCACTTGAACATCCTCACCCATGAAATAAAACATACCTGCGAGATGGATCCCACAGAGCTGGAAGAGAGTATGCATGCATCTGGGGTGGATGCTCATGGCCAGAAACCAGCTCCAGGGAGGTCTGGAAATTTCCATGGTGACATCGAAAATGACACAGGGGTCAGGGAAGGTCGAACTTAAGCACAACAAAGCAGGCTGCCAAGGTCTCAGAACCAGGTCAAAAGAAGTCACTGTGCAGGAAGACCACGCCGGGCACAGCCCAGGGCTGGAACAGCAGCCAAGTGAGCTCAAATCCCCTGACCTTTTTCCATTCTTTTCCATGGGAACCTGTGTTTTTTGGGAATTTGTTTCCACATAGCCTCTTGGCTCTGGCTGGCTTGCTAAGCAGACCCTTAGCACGCAAGCGCAGGCATGGTGCGGTTCCATGGTTCTGTTTCGAAGTAGCCCAATTGCTGCCAGTTGGTGGCTTTCCCAAAAGCTCTCATGGTGTCCACTGCTGGGTTTGCAACAGATGGGGGCCAAGCTGACATTGACAGGAGGGCTCATTTTCATGTCCTTTCTACCTTGTGGAATAGACAATCTAATGCTTATGGTAGAAGAGGCCCTTTGCATTTACATTTGTTACCTTATTTGCTGCAGTGTGGATGTGGTTTTGGAACCTGTCAGAGGTGACACCCAGCGGAAGGTGATTACATCACAGAGGCCCCACCCTCAGAAGGGACTGATGCAGGCTTCACATCCTCTTGATACCATCCACCGTATCACCCTCACCAGACCGGAGCTGCTGCCAGAGCCACACTCTCACATCTCCAGAACCTCGAGCCAAACAGTTTTTTATACAGTGGCTCAGCCTCGGGGATTTTGTTGCAGCAAAACAAAGTAGACTAAGACACTGACAACTCTATGACCTTGGCATCGTCATCCTTCTTTTCCAGATAAGGAAGCTGAGCTCAGACAGTTTGAGCAATTTGCCCAAAGCTACCCAGATGGCATGAGGCCGAGCAGTCTCCGTCTCAGGTGTGTCTTGATCCGAAGGCTCTGCTGTCTCCGAAGCCCTGGGCTGTTCTGCATTTCTGGGGATGATCATCCTGTTCTTACAAAACAAACAGGCCACTCTTCTGGGTGAGGACTTGTCCAAGAGCTCAGAACTTGGAACAGTTCTGATGCTGCATAGGAGACTGGGGCCACATGTTCACAAGACTCCACAATGTCTCCATGTGAACCATAAAACTGTTGCATTTATTTTAAGATCTCAGGACAAAGATTTGATATGTGCCCTTCAAATGTGGACTGAATGGCCAGGGAGTTGTTTTTTTTTTTTTAATGAATCAATAGGCTTAATGGACTAATGGTCAGAGAAATAGTCAAGCCAGTTTTCAATAGTTGTAATTCAAGCAGTTATGTCTACAGCGTGTTATTCACAGGAAGACACGTCCCAGGCTAGTGTGACCAGTGAGCTCTCGGGGTGTCTGGAAGGCAGTGGGTTTTCACACTCCTGGTTTCCCTAATTCTTTCTCTTGCCCTCCACTTTCTGACCTGTTGGCTCAGATCTGGAAGAGTTCACATACTCTGCTTCTCTCTTCTCTCCTGTCCCCATGAGCATACCCACTCCTACTCATCCTGCAAAACTCAGCCTGGTTGTCTTTTAAAGGAAGGTTCCCTGATTCCCAGGCTGACACTGCCCCTCTGCCTGCCACTCCCAGCATGTACCATGTGTATTAGCTTTCTAAGGCTGTGGTGATGATTGCCACAATTAAGCGGCTTAACACATCTCAGTCTTGTTATTTTACAGTTCTGGAGGTCTGCAGCCTGAGAAGGGTTCCAGTGGGCTTGGATCAGGGTGATGGGAGGGCTGTGCCCTTTCTGCAGGGCCCCAGGGAGACCCGTGTCCTTGCCATTTCCAGCTTGCAGGTGGCTTGCACTCCCTGGCTCATGTTGCCTTCCTCCATCTTCAAAGCCAGCAGTGGCTGGCTGCCTCCTTCTTCGTGGAATTGTTCTGACCTTTACTTCCACTGTTACGCTTCCTTTTCACACTCACCCACCTTGTCCCTCTTATAAGCACCCTGTGAGTACCTTGGGTCATCTGGGCAACCCAGTATCATCGCCCTTTCTCAAGCCCCTTAACATCACATTTGCAAAGACCTCATCCATGTTAGGCCACACAGGCACAGGTTGGAGGCTTGGGATGCAGAGATCCTGGAGGCCTTATTCAGCTGACCACCCCATGTGAAATGAATCTGGAGCTGTGTCCTGCACATCTTCACACACTTCCTTCCCTCCCCTGGACCTGGCTTATCCTGAGCTTCACATGGACTGAGTCCTACTGTCCTCCTGCTTTTCTGAGCTGCCTTTCAGTCACCCCCCGCTACACTGCTTACTGGTGCTCAGCTGGAGTTCTAGATGACCACCTTCCTTGTGGCAGCAAGGTGGATATTTGATCTGGGGACTCTGGAGACCAGAACATGCAAGGCTAGGGGCAGAGTGACAGACTGCAAGGTAGACAGTCTCAGACACACCCCACCCACTCCTGTGGTGGATCAGGACAGGAGCTGGGGCTAAACTCACTCTCCTGTGTGAGACTCAGGAAGATCATTTTGTTTTCTAGTAGCTATGAGGTGTGATTGAAATATATGGTGAATATTTAAATTTTAAAAGTTGGTTACAGTGAAAGACACATCACCATGAATGCCCCTCAGAATACTCCCTCTCATTTCAAACATACTTATCCCATCATGCTTGCCATTTTCTGAAGCGGTTCTGGAAGTGCTCTGTCATGGGTGTCTTTCTGAGACATGATAAAAAAATATGACTGCTGCTCCTGCATGTCCTTCAACAGAAAAACAGGCTTATAAAAACATTACTGTGTGTCTTCGTCCATCTTATTCACCAGATAAGGCACTGTGGGACTTCTGGCTCTTCCCCAAAGTCAAAATGACTGTGAAAGGGAAACGTTAAAGAAACTCACAAAAGAGGGCTTCCAGAACTGCTTCAGAAAGTGGCAAGCATGATGGGATGAAGGAGGGAATGCTTGAAGGGAGGGAGAATGTTGTGAAGAGTGTTAATGGCAATGCACCTTTTACTGTAATAAATTTTTAAAAACTTAAACATTACCCATGTTTAATCACACTCATATACCAATGCCTAGTTGCCTGGATATCCTCATGAAAGACAGACCAAGCCATAGGCAACAATAGATATGAGGTGGGAGGGAATCTGAGGAGAGATCCAAGACCTCTAGACAAAGCTGCTCTTGCAGAAGCTTGTCAATTGGCATCTGCTGTCTCTGTTGTGGCTTAGACTTTTGTGCATGTTTCCCAAGGGTACATTCTTGTCCCTTTCAGGCTTCCACATGCACAGGGTAGGTGTGGCCATGCCCTCCTCAAGCAGCCCTACCTCCCTCTGCTTTGCTCCCTTTGGTCTGCCTCCATGATTGGGTCAGCTGGCTTGAGCCCCAACAAAGTGAGCTTTAAAACGCCATGCTCAGAGAATGGGATCATATACTCACTGGGACAAAACACCCTACACCCACAACTTAAAGGAGGAGAGGTTTATTTTGGCTCACAATTTCAGTGGATTCAGTCTGTGGTTGGCTGGCTCCAGGGCAGAAATGGCATGGCAGAGGAAAGCACTTTACTGCACAGAAGGCAGAAAACAGAGAAAGAAAGGAGGAAATGGGGATAAGAATATACCCTTTCAAGACCTGCTCCTGGTGCCCTCCCTCTTCCAACCAGGCCCTACCTTTGCATGTGAGACTTTGGGGGAACATTTTAGATATAAACCATCATTCCACTTCTGGACTCCAAAAGGCTCATGTGCATTTAATTATGTAAAATGTATTTAGTCCATCTCTAAAAGTTGCCAAAGTCTTAATGGTTCCAGGTTTACTGAAAAGTCCAAGTAAAAAGTCTCCTCTGAGACACAAGGCAAACTCTTAGCTGTGAGCCTCTATAAAACTCAACAAGAAAGTTTCCAACACAGGATAAACATGTCCATTCCAAAAGGGAGGAATAAGGGTCAGAAAGAAATTGGACCAAGGCAAAACTGAAACCCAGGAGCTCATACATTAAATTCTATATCCCCACTTCCACCACTCATGGCAGGCTGTGATGAGATGTAAACTCCATGGGGCTTGGGCAGCTTTGCCCACTTGGCCTCTCTCACTCACCACCTGTGGCTTTCCTCAGCAGACTTTCCAAGTTCCTGACATGTCCAATTTCCTGGAGTCTCCACTATACTTTCAACTTCACCCTCACAGCTTTATACACTGTCCTTTCATGGGTTCTTGGCAGAGACTATGACCCTTTCACACTTTTGCCTGGCTTTCCACCCTTTTGAAATCTGAGTGGAAGCCTCTGTGACCCCGTAACCCTTTCAATCTGAATGCCTGAAAAACCAGCACTGTGTGGATGATGCTAAGGTCAGTTGCCAGTTTAAGCAGTAGTTGAGACCCTTTGTACCATGGCTGTAGTTGCTTCTGAGTGTCTGGATGGCTGAACTCAGGGATACATCTTGCCAGGCATCCCTGAATGAGCAAGTGTCCAGGGGACTCCTTTCTCGAATGAAAGGTTTATACTTTTTCACCCTTGGCCTGTGATGAATGGCATCTTGCTGATTTCTGAGGCATCTTTCTTCTTCTTTTTTTACTTTGCTTGTTTTTAAATCTAATCTTTTAAGCTAGCTCTCCTCTTCCCTAGTATCTTAGTTATTTTCTCATCATTGAGACACAATACCTGACACTCACAACTTAAAGGAACAGAGGTATATTTTGGGCTCAGGTTGCAGTCCATGGTCAGCCAGCTCCACAGAAAAAAACAAGCATGGTAGATGGTCATGGCATGGGAAAAGCTGCTCATGTCATGGTAACAAGGAAGCAGAGAGAGTAAAGGAAGAGCTGGAAGGGAGATAGACTCATCTAGGTCATGCCTCCAGTTACTCATCTCTTCCATCCAGCCCCAACCTCTTAACAGCAAGTCAGCTATGCCATCCCTACAATTCAATCACCTTCCAAAACCCCCATCTATGAGTGTATGAAGCTGTCAGGTGCCACCCAGATATAAAGCATAATACCCAACTCTGCATGTGCTTTCTTTCTGGTAAAAGCACAACTTTTAAATCATTCAGCTCTGCTATTTGCTTCTGATTCTCAATGTATAATTGGCTAAAAGCATCCAGCAGTATCCACACTATAGCCTGAACACTAGGCTGCCTTGAAATTTCCTCTGCCAGATTAATTAATCTGCTATTTTAATCTTCATCCCCCACAAAGTTTTAGGGCATGGGCAAAATGTAAGCAAATTTTCTGCAAGAGCATAATACACATGGCCTATATTCCAATTGCCAATGAAGTCTTTGTTCTCAAGTGAAAACTCCAGAGCCTGGCCTTCACTGTCTGCATTCTACCAGCATTCTGGTGTTCTTAGCTCTGGCAAATATCACACAATGAACACTGCTCTCAATATTCTAGTATCTTAAGTGAATCTTCAAACCTTTTCAACTCCTGCAAAACAGCTTCAAAGTATTCTAAACCACATGGTCAGTTACAGTGACAGCAACAACTCCACACTTGGCACCAATTTTCTGTGTTACTTTCTCTCCCATCAGTAGGATAACATACCCACACCCACAGCTTAAAGGAGGAGAGGTTTATTTTGGCTCACAGTTTTAGTGGGTT